CCCCCTACTGTATCATTTATATTTTCTTATTATAAACAAAAAGTTTAATTGGGTTATACAAGAATTAAAAAACCGCTTCCGTCTTTTTAACCACTTTTGTATATATTCAAATAATATAAATATAATATAATGTATGTACTGTTTACTTGAACTGCATATGAGCTGTAAAAACTTTTTCTATCCGAGGCAGGGCTCAAACCGGATTCAACTGGTGGCTAGCCCGTGTTAATTTTTAAATATTTTCTGCCAGAATTTGTGTTTGGAACTATTATTTTTAATTTGTTGACTAAATTAATTAAAGTTTGTTGTTTGTGTCAAACAAAAAATACATAAGTAAATTATGATAAAAAATAATTATTTATTCGGAAATCAAAAACACAGAAAACAAAAAGACAAAAAACAACTTGTTATACCATTTTATTATTGTGTTTATAAAAATGTTAATTTCTGTAAAATTGTAATGTATCACAACCACCTTTCTCTTGAATAATTATTATAACATAAATATGAACATTTAATTGTTTGATATGTTGTGTTTTCATCACGACATTACTTTTTTTTATGTAATAATATTAATTATAATTTTTGAAGTGTTTTGATTAAATATTCCACAAAATGATGTACTACTGATAAAAGCAAGTAAATTGTTATTTGACATGTATGCAAAATACATATTTAAAAAAATATTTGAATCTAACACGTTTTGAATTTAAAATAAAAAGGAAAATGTTTATAATATTCAATGTTAACATTTTGTTTTAAAAAATGTTAATATAATAGTATAACATTAAAAACAAATTTTCAACGACCATTTAACCGTGTTTGGATAGTGATTATACACATAAAACTAATTATAAATAATATTTATTTTTTAAAATGACATAAATTGTTTTTGTGAGTCAAAACAAATTGCCAAATATTGTACAAGTTGATCCAAAGTTGTTAACAAGTTGTATTGATTTTAAATATACAACTATTATTGTTTTTTTCATTATCAAATGCGTTGTTTAGAACACAACAAAATGAACATTGATATTAATATATTTATATGGTATCGTCCAAATTTGTAATGTCAATTTATTTATTATAATTTTCATATAAAACAACAAACTGTCATATAAATTAATAAGTGTTAAGATTTCAAATCACTTTACTCTATATTTTAGTTACAATAATGCTAATATTTAAATTGAGAAATGTATAAAAATTCTTTTTGTGTTTTATTTGATACACTGATTCGTGTTTAATCAATACAATGAAACAGTGATTACTTTAAGGTTTAAACAATTTAAATTATATATTATGTTCTAACACAGAATGTAATGACAACATTTTTATTTTACTTCATTCCAATAACATTTTCCTATTATTTATTTATGCCATTCAATCAAAATTTTTTCTCAAAAAGTTATTTGTTTTATTTTTCTTTTGTTTTTGGTTTAAATATTTAAATTTTTCTTATTTGTTTTTTCTGGTTATTATTTGTTTTTCAAAACACTTTTGGTCTTATTATTTGAAGAACGGAATAAAGTGTAGTTTTGAGCATATTATTCAGCAACATTCCCAAAACAGCATTTTTTTAATTTTTATAATTATTTTCTTTAAATTGAGCAAAAAAATTTCTTTTGTGAATAGGATTTTTTATTTTATCCAAAAAGATAAAATGCCATTATTTCTTTTTCAAAAAACGATTATTTAATTGAGGTTTGCATTCGGGAGTTAAATTGTATTATATTGTTAATTATAATTTTATTATTAACAATAATAAAAACAATAGTAAATGGTTAAACAAAAAACTATTATTTTTCTATATTATGAGAAAATAAGCGATGAGGCGGTAATAATTCGTTATTGATATTTTTTTAATTAATTAATTGTATGAATTAATATATAAAAAGTTTCAATAGAGTGGTAATGAGATTATAACTACTATTTAATTAATACCAAATACCAAACTTTCAATTCAAGATGATGTTTGTGAACCCACAACAATGCATTATTCCCCAAGTTAACTCCAACACACAGAGCGTTCGACTGATCCGTCTTGAGAATCGGATGGATCAACTTCTTACTCAGTCGGTTTCAACTCATTCCCAAATTGGTAGTTTAACAAACAACATTGTGATTCTAGATTCAAAACTGGATTTTGTGACAACTCTTTTGAATCAAATGGCGTCAAAGTTCTCCGACCTTTTAATTCAAAATGTCAACATGAAAAAGTCGATTGATGGTCTTCAAAGTCACTTTCCCACCAAAACCGAGAAAATTGACGAAGTTGAAAAATTGCCGTCGAAAATTGAAAAGGTTCAAAATCGGGTCCAACAAAGTGCGCCGACGCAATGCACCAAATCACCATCACCGAAACTACAACCAAAACAAACACATCCGTTTCAACAAGAAGTCCAACGCCCGAATTATCCCGCCAAAAGTCCGAGTCCAAACACCCCCAAAGAGCAGAAGAAGCCGTCAATTCCAATAAGAAATACAACGAAACCGACTCCATCGGTGCCAAAAAATAAGAAGGACGACTTTGCGGGGCTCTCATTTGAAACGGAAATTGGTGATATCAAAAAACAGCAGAAAGACGACAATTTGAGTGTCAAAAAGAAAGGCGACGAAGAGATAAAGAAAGTCCAAACCAAACTTGAAAACGTCGAAAGTGATGACAAAAACAGTTTACTGGAAATTGCGACAGATGTGAAGAAGAAGAATAATAAAAAGAAAAAGACAGAGAGTGCTACACTGGCTGGAGTTAAGATATCAGAGATACCAAACATAGTACCAATCCCTTCTGTTCCTAATGTCCCGACTATCTCATTGGTGGAAACTAAGAAGTCAACAAAAGAAGAGGGGTCGGTTGTGTCGCATATGAATGATAAGAATATCAGTGAACAAAAAGACGCAAAAAAGGACGACAAAAATCGGTTCATCCCAACAAAAGACCAAATCGAACAATTCACCCTCGAACGCCTCAAAGACACAGAAAAGAAACACATCGACGACTATAACACAGTGAGACAAAATAATGACGCCAAGAAAAGTACTATTAAGAAACTAAAAACGGAAATGAAAGGTATTACAGAGGAAACTAAAAAAGACGAGAAAGAAGATAATTATCATATTATTGAACAAAAAGAAGAAAAAATAGAAAAAATTGTTGAAATACCAAAAATACCACAAGCAAAAAAAGAAATCCAAATCCCAAAAATTCCTGTTTCAAATGATGAAGTAAATTATTGTAATGAAACACAACAAAAGGTGGTCTTAGAAAACAACTCGATGTCGTCAAAGATAGATAAGAAACCAAATAAAAAGATAAGTCCTGTTCCTGTTTTACCAATAATCTCAGTCATATAATAATATAATCCAGGAGTTGAGAAATGGTTAAAATAATTGGTTCGTACTTTGTTTGTATCACCTATTCAATCGATAGAAGTAAGAGTTATTAATGATAACTTTTATTTATATTACTTGTTTTAGTACTATTTAATAATAATATTACTTATTATTACTATTACTTGTTTTAGTTAAATATAGTATATTGTAACTATTTAAGTACAAAATTATATGATTAAATTAAAGTAAAAAGAGCTTATTTGTGGGTTTTTAACAGGTTTTATTTTTTGTGTATTTTTTTCTGTCAATTTATTTCACCCATTATACCGTTTTTGCTTCAATCTATTTTTTGAATAACTAAAACTTAGCCTTACTATTTTTTATTAATATCAAACCATTTACTTTGAAAGTATTATTATGATAATATTTTCATTTGATATTATAAATTAATTATGATATTAATGTAATTATACAATTTTATCGATAGTAAATAACGACTTTGTAAAAGTACCAAGGTTTTACTGTTTTCAAACAACAACGAAAACGATGTTGTCCTGAAGATGATAGTTGGAGTAATAGTTCTTTACTTTCGGCGCGTAGTATAAGAAACGATATTCACAATTATTTTTTTGTCAAATTGAATATGTTTGCAAATATATTATATTTGAAAGAACATAGACAACAATGTTTGTTTTGATAGTCTAATTGATTTTGTTATTCATAAAAGATCTATAGACGTATTACGGAGACACCACAAATACCCAAGATGTTTCTAGACAGGAGAAAACTAGCGCAAACACCATGGTTCAAGTTTGCCAACAACCCTAGATACATCAGATTCCTCTTTGATATTCCAGCTAGGGTTGCGATTTTCCCAAACTCCAAGCGGACCAAGAAGCTTGGACTGCCTTGTTTGATCCAGGTCATCAAACTGAGACAGTTGTATGCGCCTATTTATAGATCAAAGCCTGGTGTGTTGCACAAAAACATGGACGGTATCACAGTCGACACCGAGACCCACCAATGGTATTCCGTTAGAGAAAATGGTCCTATTTGAGTCGAAGACATGTTTGTCCCTTTCTACTCTTT